GCAGATCCCACCTTGTGATACAGGGAGGATACCTCAGCAGAACTGGAGTGTCCTAAAGCTCTGAAGAACACCCAGATCAGGTAGTCAACATGATTCCCAAATTACACTCTGAAGCCTTTGATCTTGAGAGAGCGCTGCCACTTGAAGCTGAAAGAGTCTGGAGTTTGGACCCTTACATAATCAATATTTATGTACCTCTGGAAAAAACAGGTTCGGACAAATCACACTCAAGTTTCGGTCGGTCATCGATTTGGGAATAGATGAGTGCAATATCTCTTTATGTGAGCTGCCAGTGGATCTAATGTTGCAACTTCCAATTCCACATGAGCTTTCTCTAAGCCCATTGCAAACTATCGTGGTCATTAGCACTTAACTCGCTTCTCACTGGGAATTGTCGCTGAAAATATCCATACCCTAAAACCATGGTGGATGTCTAATCGTCTACACATTGAGATATAATGGCCATCTAATTTTATACAAAAACTGTATACAGCAAGGAACATGGAAATATGACTATACAAATATGATAAAAACTGCTAGATGATTGAGTTGTCTTAGATGGGCACCGATGGCACTGCATCTCTTATTAAAACAAAGTGACTATGTGAATTGGATACAGATAGTTAGAAATGTATGTGGCAAACATCAATCAATGCTTTGGATCTGTTCATACAGCGCCCTCCTGTGGCTAACACAGAAATACCAACCACAGAGCTTGAGCGAAACAGATGCATGCATTTAGAGGACAATGGACACACTCACTAACCAGGTTACCATCCAACCTTTTTATGTGAGTAAAGTACATGTCGGATAAAAAAAGTAACGACAGGCCTGATAGAAACCGCAAATTTGTCCATAAAGGTTCCAAATGTCAACAATCTCTTTGTGTCTGTAAAATTAATTATGCGAGAAATGTTCCAATGGTGGTGGACACGCCTTTATGCGCAACCGACATCATTGGCAAATGCTCACCTTCGACGGCCACTGGCACGCTGGAGAAGTGTGCACTTCCCATGTGGTCCCTCTGTAGCTCAATTGGTAGAGCATGGCACTTGTAACGCCAGGGTAGTGGGTTCGATCCCCAGGACCACCCATACGTAAAAATGTATGCACACATGACTGTAAGTCGCTTTGGATAAAAGCGTCTGCTAAATGGCATATTATGAATCCCGGTTTCAACTGTACCGGACAGATGGCGTCGTGTGGGCGAGTGGTTTGCTGATGTGAACAGAGTGCCCATGGTGGCAGTGAGGATATGGTATGGGCAGGCAGGCATAAGCTACGGACAATGAACACAATTGCATTTTATCGATGGCAATTTCAATGCACAGAGATACCGTGACGAGACCCTGAGGCCCATTGTCGTGCCATTCATCCGCCGCCATCACCTCATGTTTCAGCATGATAATGCACGCAAGGATCTGTACACAATTCCTAGAAACTGAAAATGTCAGTTCTTCCATGGCCTGCATACTCAGACATGTCACCCATTGAGCATGTTTGGGATGCTCTGGATCGACATGTACGACAGCGTGTTCCAGTTCACGCCAATATCCAGCAACTTCGCACAGCCATTGAAGAGGAGTTGGACAACATTCCATAGGCCAAAATCAACAGCCTGATCAACTCTATTAGAAGGAGATGTGTCACGCTGCATGAGGCATATGGTGGTCACACCAGATACTGACTGGTTTTCTGATCCACGCCCCTACCTTTTTTAAAAGTCATTTGAACTCCATAGATTAGGATTTCTTTATATGAACTGTAACTCAGTAAAGTCTTTGAAATTGTTTCATGTTGCGTATATATTTTTGTTCAGTGTAGTTGGGATTTGGTTAAATCATGGTGAATCAAATCATGTGACTCAAAATAATAATTTGTGAATCACGAACAGTAATTTTAGGGGGAAATAATAGCCTTCTTTTTGGATTATGTGGCTGCAAAACTTGTTTTGGGACATTGCAACTTAATAGATGCTAGTCAGCCTGAAAAGTAACTTCTAAGACTTGCCTAGTTAAATAAAAGGTTAAATAAAAATAAAGATAAACATGACTAAACTAGAAAAGGTACATTTCCTGAAGAAAATCTGTGTGCTTGCCTCAGCTGTCTAAAAAGATTTGTTGAAATGTAGAATTCAAACTGAATAGAAAGCGAAGCAGCTCATCATAGTAAGAATAGGTCTGATTACTTAAGTAGACTCCTATATACACTTGGTGGGCAGTTTATTAGGTACACCTGACTAGTACCAGGTCGAACCCCCTTTGCCTCCAGAACAGCCTGAATTTGTTGGGGCATGGAAACCTAACGTGTGCCAGGAAAACATTTGCCACACCATTACACCGCCGCCACCAGCCTGTACCGCTGAACCAGGCAGGATGGGGCCATGGACTCACGCTGCTTACGCCAAATCCTGACTCTGCCATCAGCATGACGCCAGCCTGTCATGCTAGAACCAAGATGAAACAGGAACCGGGATTCGTCGGAGCAGGCAATGTTTTCCACTCCTCAATTTTCCAATGTTGGTGATCACGTGCCTATTGGAGCCGCTTCTTGTTTTTAGATGATAGGAGTGGAACCCGGTGTGGTCGCCTGCTGCAATAGCCCATCTGTGACAAGGACTGGCGAGTTGTGTGGTCCAAGATGCCGTTCTGCACACCACTGTTGTACTGCACCGTTATTTGCCTGTTTGTGGCCCGCCTGTTAGCTTGTACGATTCTTGCCATTCTCCTTCGACCTCTCATCAATGAGCTGTTTTTGCCCACAGGACTGCCGCTGACTGAATGTTTCTTGTTTGTCAGACCATTCTCTGTAAACCCTAGACACTGTTGTGCATGAGAAGCCCAGGAGGCCGGACTTTTCTGAGATACTGGAACCGGCGCGCCTGGTACTGGTAATCATACCACACTCGTTAGGTCACTCATTTTGCCCATTCTAACTTTCAAATCGAATAGTAACGGAATGCCTTGATGCCTGCTTTATATAGCAAGCCACGGCCACGTGACTCAGTCTGTAGGAGCGAACCATTTTCATGAACGGGGTGGTGTACCTAATAAACAGCCACTGAGTGCATTTCAGCTAGCACATCAATTATTGAAAAATGAACTGAGCCTAAAACTCAGCCGGGACAGGCTTTCAAACCGTGGTCCCTGTGACTGTCATTCCAAAACCATTATAACAAAAGGCTAAAATCTCTTGGTAAGGTCGCTAGGTGTTGTAAGCAGTGGTGTAGTGGTACCTGGAGAAGTGAGTATACTCAAAAAAAATTGAGTGTAGTTACCCTTTAATTCAAGTGCACAGGCACCTAGCTCTGTTTGGTTAGTGGTGTTTCTGTAGCACATGAGCTGGAGTTTGCAAAACAAATGGCCACTGGATTGATGCAAATAATCATGTCGTCATTCTGCCTGGTAGGCATAGGCTACTTTGTAGCTAGTTAACATTTAATTGAGAAGGTTATTGGGAAAGCCTTTCACATCTACCAGAGTACAGTTAGGCCTATCATTAGCGTCGCTATATTTTTCCATGTTCCTTAATTGTTTGAAACCTGGACGTTTTACTTCATATAATGACGCATGTCTTACCTTGCTTCAAAGTAGCCTATAGCCAAAATCCCACCATATAAATTTTTTTATTTTACAAAGTCTTCCTCATATGCTTCCTCCTTTTCTATTGGTTTTCTTTCTTTCATTGTCTAGCAGCCAAAGGCATTATCCTAGTCATATTATCAACCCATGATAGTTGTTGCACATTTAGAACTCCCCTCTTTCTAACAGATATTTCTATCTCTGTCCATGAAACCGCTTGCATGTGCGGTGCACATTTTAGAACTGTGTTTTACCTCAAATTGTATTTTGGAACATTCACACATAGGCCTAATGCGGTGTGCACATTGTTACGCCTAAAATGTGAAGAAATAATAGTTTATCAATATTTTAAACGTATCAATATTTTAAGCTAAACATTCTGATCTGTTCCATCAGTCTTATTAAAATGTTATGGCGTATACCTCCACTACTTTAATACGCATCATGGGGATTAAGAAGTCAATATACGCAATGCTCACTGAAAAATAAGTGCGTATACCCTCCACTACCCCACTGGTTGTAAGAGGTTAAAATTGTATTTCTTTATACACTGAACAAAAATATAAAACGCATCATGTAAAGTGTTGGTCCCATGTTTCATGAGCTGAAATAAAAAATCCCAGAAATGTTTTATATGCATAAAAAGCTTATTTCTCTCAAATGGTGTGCACAAATTTGTTTACATCCCTGTTAGTGAGCATTTCTCCTTTGCCAAAATAATCCATCCACCTGACAGGTGTGGCATATCAAGAAGCTGATTAAACAGCATGATCATTACACAGGTGCACCTTGTGCTGGGGACAATAAAAGGCCACTTTAAAATGTGCAGTTTTGTCACACTACACAATGCCACAGATGTCTCAAGTTTTGAGGGAGTGTGCAATCGGCATGCTGACTGCAGGAATGTCCACCAGAGCTGTTGCCAGATTATTGAATGTTAATTTCTCTATCATAAGCTGCCTCCAACATCGTTTTACAACATTTGGCAGTACGTCCAACCGGCCTCACAACCGCAAGCCTCGTGTAACCACGCCAGCCCAGGACCTCCACATCTGGCTTCTTCACCTTCGGGATCTGACTGTAATAAAGCCCTTTTCTGGGGGGAAAAAACATTCTTATTGGCTGGGCCTGGCTCCCCAGTGGGTGGGCCTGGGTGCCAAGTAGGTGGACCTATGCTCTCCAAGGTCCACCCATGGCTGCACCCCTGCCCAGTCATGTGAAATCCATAGATTAGGGCATAATTTATTTATTTCAACTGACTTATTTCCTTATATGAACTGTAACTCAGTAAACACTTTTACATTGTTTCATGTTGCGTTTATATTTTTGTTCAGTATATATTTTATTTTTATTCGCTCGCTTCACCTTTAAAAAAATGTATCCATTAAACAGTAAAATCAACTTTGTATAGCCTTACCTTCACTTCTTCACAAAGTCTGCACACATCTTGGAGCACAGCTCTTTCTCTTTGTCCAAATAGTCCTTGTAGCGTCTGCACAAGTAACAATAATTTAGTTGAAACAATGTGTCACTAGGGAAATAAAGAATGAACGTCTATGAATAAACAATGAATGTCAGAAATATTATCTTACATGGCAAGCTTCCTCAGGAGATTATTGATGTCGATGTCGAATGGTTTGTTGGCCTGAGCCATTGTGAGGTAATCCTGGGCTTTCTCATAGTCAAACAACTCCAAATAGGCCTGAGGAAAACGCTCTGGTTAAAACATGTGTGACTGCGATTCTTTCCACAAGTGAGCCATCACCAAACATGCAAAACTCAAATGTGTGAAAATGGGAAGATGTATGCTTTAGAATTATTTTAAAAGACGCTATTAATGGGTAAATCTTCATAAAACATATGGTCCTAGTAAATGCACCACCTGTAAAAGTTTTTTATAAAGAACATTTATGTCTGGTGTCAGATCCCTGTCAGCTCACCTATATTTAATATCCATAGCACAAACTATGATGCCAAAAACAATCACATATACTGTAGGCACACACACATGAACCCAGCTTATTGACAAGAATATGACTTCCCCCACCCTGAGGGTCTGACCTGACCTGACCACAGCGGAAGAGGGCCTTGGTGTTGGTGGGGTCTATCTCCAGGGCCTTGTGGCCGTACTTCAGGGCTTTCAGAGGCCTGTCCAGGCGGAGCTGGGTCAGGGACAGGTTGAGGTAGATGGGCAGCTGCACCGCCGCAATGCTCCTCTTCTTCTCCTTGTCCTCCGTCTCCCGATTCCCCAGCAGAGTCAACGCCTGGCCAGACACATGGAAAGGTCATACACCTCTTTCTATCACATGCACACATACATGCAGACACAGAAGTGTGCACACACTACACACAAGTGTGCTTGTCAAATATTACACACGACAGTGAGCTTATGACTGTGTATAAAATAACATCTACAAAAAACTCAATACTTATGAGAGAGAACCAGAATTTCAACATCATAATCATTGCTCTCATTCATTCACATACACTTGAAGTGATCCTTCATCATAAAATAATGCTGAAACTAAAATCAAGGGGCTCATTTGAGGACATATCATTTATGACATAAGACTATTTTGATCCTACCTGCTTGTAGCGATCTTTGGCGTCCTCGAAGCGACTCTGGTTGAAGCAGCGGTTGCCAAAGCTGCGCTCTGTGTCGACCACATTGAAGAGCTTGGACAGAGGAACAGTGTTCTGCTCCTCCTGGAGGGAGAGAGAAAGGTAAAAACTGGGGAGAGGGAGCCAACAAAATCACAACTAATCCCCAGGAAGTAGTGAGAAGCATGACCAGAAATAGTAACTTCAGTCCAATTAGAAAATGGCTCTATTCAACCCCATAACATATCTCAGCTCCTTCCACTGTATTTAATAAGGTAGGTTGACATTCTCTGTTACAACAACGCCCTGGTCCTAGAGGTTATCACCACCAACCTTGAGGGAACTCTAACTAGTTTTGTCTGACTCGTGAGATACAGCTAGGGCTCTGCGATGTATCAAATTAATTTGATTAATTCAAATGTATGTTTTTGTGCGATATTCCAAATTCCTGTATTGCTAGAATCACGTTTATTTGTTTTGTTTTTATGAGCGTTTATGTCCGCTTGTTCTCATGTTGTCTTTTTAGTCTTGTCTCCTTCTTCCTCTCTGACAAGTGTTTTCAACTCACTATTTGCATTTCAGGATTGGTTCAACAGAAAATCGGTCACATGGACACCGAACCACACTGAGACATTATTTGTACTGTAATAGAGGAGAAGTTAACCTTTCTAACAATACCCTTTTTATATCTCAACTCCTCAAATTGTGCACAGAGCAGACACTACTAAAACAGGAGTATCAATGAACATAGATTCTGGTAAATGAATGCTCAATTTGTCGTGCGCGGCACATAATTTTTGCCAGAGACTGTTATACTAGCTGTCTAGTCTGTGTTTTATTAATGTGCAATAAGCCTAAAACACAATTATATAAGGAATTGGCAACTCGTTCTCATTTTGAGAAATAAGGAAGGCTACTTGATTTCAACATCTGAACAAAGTGGACCGGCTAGCATGCTGTTCAAACAGTTAGAAACGGACAGAAGGGTGTGTTCATAAGAATTAAACTGTCTAGCTACCTTGTTAGCTAGCAAATTGATCCAAGTTGGCTAAACTTGAAATATAAAGATTAGCTGGCTACTCACTAGCATGTGGGCTTGTGTTTGAGAGACTGTTTATGAGACCTGTGTTAATATTCTATAATCCCTGCTATTAGTGAATGTGCATTACGCATGGTTCTGGTTAAATTTGTAACAAAAAGGGCATTTTCATCCAAAAGACTTGAATGCCAGATCAGTGATTATTGCAAAAAAACTATTTTGATGAAATAATTACATTATTAGTGAGTCTTATGGTTGTGGAAGGCTTAAATTTAGCCTAGGTATAATTTTACAAGTCTCCCATTAGATTATTGTTGAATGTTTGAAATGCAGTGTATTTGACCTTTAATTGTACAACAAAGCTTATTTAGAGAAAACATTCAATACAAATGGCCATATTGCCCATCCCTTGATACAGCCCTGACTGAATAAGGCCCCTAGTCTCCTCACCGAACTCATTGCGAAGAACTCATCCACTTGGGCTGAGTCAAGGAAGTCGAGGACCTGCACCTCGTAGAGCACAGTGGCTACAGGAGGGATGAGTGGAGGGCAGCCCATCTCTCCATATGCATACACAGGCAGGAAGAGAAAGCGAGAGAACTCTCCCTTCCTCATGGTCAGAATACCCAGCTCCAGGCCACACAGAGTCACGTCTGTAAGTTAAGGAGTGTTTATTAGTTGTTTATGAAGCCACATATGAAAACCAGTTACCTAAGAGTAGGCTACATCTTACCTCTTCCAAGCTTCATCATTCGAGGGTACTTCAGGTTGCTGGTGGTCTCAAATGGTCGGTCAGAGTACTCCAGAAATCCTGAGAAATTAACTGTGAAGGGATATTATCAAGTGTATATAATAGATTGCATTATGTCCCAATAAATATGCCTTACATTGTAAGGCAACCTAAAGATAGGAGTATTTTTAGACAGTACTTGACACAGATGAATCTCTTGGCACTGGTGGGCCTTGTCCAGGTTGGACCACTTCCTTCAGGACCCCTCCATCGCCCAAGAGGTCCTGCATCTGCTGGCCCAGGAGGTGGAAAGGGCTCTGACAAGGACAGAGAAAAGTTACCATCATTGATAACCCTTAGCTAACTTTTTTCAACCCTTCTTAAATTTGATTGCAGAGGGGCACAAAGAAACAGTGTCTTGCCAAAACACTGTTTTATATCTTAGTTAGATAGCTAGTAAGTTTAAACGACATTTTACAAGGTGGCACGCGAAGCAAAAATAATTTGGGGTGACAGGATCAAGCTCGCGAGGCTGCAGCAGTGTCTTTGCTAGTTAGTTAGCTAGCTAGCAAATGAGCAAATTATGCACAAAGATTTGTATACATTGTAACCAATTAGCAATACATTTTGGTTTATTAAACATCCCTATTAATATGAAGGTGTGAAGGTTAGCAAATAATAGTTGTGTGTTAAAATGTTGATATCACATGTAACGTTAGGTTAGCTAGCTAACTCGCTGTTGGCAATAGGCAGCCTCCCGTCCATGGCTTTACCTGAGTACCTGCCCTTAGCCGCTCGTGGGGATCCAAAAACTGCTGAATTCTGGTCGACAGTCCGTTTGCTGACATAATTTTGTCTAAAGATGTTTGCAAATTTCAATTGCACTAGCTATGATAATATTAAATTCTATGAATAATTTGGGTAGCTAGTTAGCTTGCCTTGAGACAGATTTCCCACGGCGTACGTAGCTAGGGTTGCGTTCAGTTCGATCGAACGTTTGCTACGTCGCGTAACGACTTTTACACGTCCGTCCCCCCCCCCAAAACGTTCTTGAACAGACTTTGAGGTACGTTTGCTACCTTTGGTGGGTGTGGCGGGGTGTGGCTTGAAGCAATGAGAGTGAGGTTTTTAAAGGGCAGCGGTGCATTTTAGAACCCACAACCCAACCTGTCCTTCAGAACAGCACCGTTTCCGTTTAATTGAACGATTAGAAACTCTGTGGTTGCATTACGTTTTTTCGTATTGAACGCAGACATGGTCATTAGGTCACACTGGGTCGGTCACACCACGTGAGGTGCACTGACCTTTTGACGTTATTAAATCAAAAGCGGAAATCCAATAATGGTTAACATAAAAAAAAAACATCATATTTCCCCTTTTGCACAATTCTTATTTTTCATGTTTGTCATAATAGTATATGGTCATAGATGAGCCTACTGTACAAATTGAGTTTGTAAGTCTGTTGGAGTACTTTATTATATTTTTATCAATATAAAAATGTCAAACAAAATATATGCACAAGAACATCAATATCATACACATTTTCAAAAATATATGTTTTTCTGAATAAATGCTATTAGCTTCCATTGTAGTTTTAAGACCTGATCCAGCATTTAGCATTTTAGCCAATATCACTGAATACATGTTTAAACTACAACAATGGCAATAGTCCATGCTAGTAATTTGACAAATGTACAACACACTCAAACATATTTAAAATTATACTGTGGCATGGGACTATTTTATACAATTTCACAGTTGTTGAAGATAAAGTTAAATCCTCAGCGTATACCAAACACAAACAAAGAATTTTCCACACATACGGTTATACTGTATATGAGTCATTCCAAGTGTTTTCAAACAGACTTTTGCCAGAGCAGTCTTCCTTTTTTTTTTCAAAAGAATGCATGCAAATCTCTCCATCAACGTTGTACTTCATATGCTAATAATTAACCATTTTCCCCCAGGGTGGGATAGTGCAGACTAATTTATCTGTTCTAATCTATTAACTGGTGGGGGTGTTATGCTTTTAGCGCAACACTCCATAGCAAGACATTTGCACAAATGTTGACTGTTCGAGCATCAAAGATACGATAGTTTTAGTCTGATATTCTTCAAAATACGTCCAAGACATGATTTGTTTTCCAAAATTCAAAAACACCTCAATTTTAAAGTCACCAATCACAAATTTACATGGATATCTACACTCTTAGAAAAAAGGTTTCCAAAAGGGTTCTTCGACTGTCCCCATAGGAGAACCCTTTTTGGTTACAGGTAAAACCCTTTTTGGTTCCAGGTAGAACCATTTTGGGTTCCATGTAGAACCCTCTGTGGAAAGGGTTCTATATGAAACCCAAAACAGTTCTACTTGGAACCAAAAGGGTTCTATCTGGAACCAACAAGGGTTCTTCAAAGGGTTCTCCTATGGGGACAGTCGAAGTACCCTTTTAGGTTCTAGATAGCACCTTTTTTTCCTAAGAGTGTAGGTCCTCAGAAAGCAATACGAACTACAGGACTCTGGGCAGAATAGGGAAACCAACATCCCACACACGCATCACATTAAGGTTATAACTTATGCCTTTTGAGGCCAAAGTTCAAGTTCACATTGAAATCCCATCAGAAAGAAGGCATTATTTAGAAGACATTGCTTTAAATACTGTAATTAGTAGTCTATGTCACACATTTTATATACTGTTAAGGGGATACATCAACAGACCTTGCCTTGCAAGTAAATCAGGTACTCAAGCAGCAGCAGTACTACCTACATTGTGTACAAGGCTATACTGTATGTGGCAAATATGAGCTTTCTTTGTTGAAGAGTGTTCTGTTAGGGTAAATTATATTGTTTGGAATGTTTAGATATTGGGTTGGGTTTAGCTAAATGTATGCACACATATTATGTTATCATTTGTGCCGAAAACACTCCTCAGAGAGAAGGAGTGACTTGACTGACAGCCTGGCTTGTATAAACTGATGTCCAGGGTAAAAACGAGATGGGTGACGAAATGTTTGCAAAAAAAAAAAAAAAAAAAAAGTTCTAATGACACTGACATATCTTATTTCACTTGCTCTCTGCAAACTACACATGTGATATTTTTAATATTGTTGCATGATATTAGCATAGTTATTGACAAAATACATATCAAACGGACTAGTGTAAAAATCTATCTGTGATATTGGCAGTCGCAGTAAGAAATGGTTTTGTTATTGTAGCTAAACAACTTAAAACCAGTACATTCAGTTCAGACAGACTGGGTATCTGAGTATCTGGGACGAAATAGAGTATTTCCCAGCGGATATGAATTCACTAAAATAGACATATTAATTAGTATAAGTGCATTTTCCTTATATGAGCAGTTTTATGGTACATTCATTACCTATAAAACACGATGTACAGTAGAAAGACCATTTAAAAGTGAACCGTTATGTTTCCCTATGATTTTAAAACAACATGTTCCATCAACGTTAGTTGCATAGAGGGCTGCCGAACCATTTCAATTCCAGGACATTTGAGAAATGCATTGCAATTCACATGAATTATCGAAAATTGCCCCTAATTTCATATCAATTAAATCTCAATAAATGTACTGAATTGCCTACAGTTGGAATAGAATGAACCCCTCCTAAAAAACACTCCCACAAACAAAGTTTTGCAGAAAACATTGTGATGTTTTGATAAACTAGTAGTTAACATAATTCATCAACTTGTCATTAGGAAATGAGTGAATTCAGTGCACTGCGTAGTCAATGAGCATTCCGTTCTGGGGCACTTGCTGATAAGAGGCGGATGGTGAGAGCCATAGAATGGAGACATGCTGCCAAACGAGGTCAGCTCTCTTTACCCCAAACCTAATTTGGGGTAAGGTCATGGAACTGACCTCAAACAACATCAAACAATTGACGACATCCAGAGAATTTTAAAAAATGCATATCTACTGTGTATGGTTTACATTTCAGAAAATGTTCCCATGGTGGCTCATTTACAGAACTGTATATTAACTGTCTATTACTGTCAAGTCAATGTGTGTTCATTTCCAGTTTTGATAAAATATCTGCAAGTTAAAGGGTATTTTGACCATAAAAGGGCAAATGAAACTAAGCCGTATGCCTCCTTGACCCTCCTCAAGTACTTTCGGTGAGCTACAAGCAGACAATTGTATTTAAAGGGCTGTTTCCACTCCTAGGATGCTATGTTCAACCACCACACATCTCTGTGTCTGAAGGATAGCCAATAAGACAAATAAGGCGTGGGTTCTATGCTTAGCAAGTGACTGCACCAAAAGATAGCTCTCTGGACCACAAAACCAATTAACAGATCAGCTGGGTTGCAGGTACTGAAGTCGGAGAGTGACATTTGGAGGGCGCAAAACAGACCTTGGCACTTCAAGTATTCTGCGCGCCACTTAATGCACCAATTACACAACTACTGCTTTGCCTGCATCAAATATCCGCACTGTCATATCCAAGCCTGCATTTTCCAAGCCTTGCTTAGGGCGATAAGGTTGGAAATAAACTGTTTTGAGGTTTTCGCGATTTTGGTCTCTTGACATTACCGCCGCTTGTTGTTCACCATTGGTCAAATAGCACCATTCTGGCCACTCTGTCTGTTTTGCTATTGATATGAACAACATAGTAGCCTAACATATTCCCTCTCTTACCAGGATTTAGAATTTCATTCATACTTTTGAGTGAGCACATTGCTTCTTATTCAATTCCCTCTCTAGTAAGGCCCTGTGTTTCTCAGCTATGAAACTCAGTTGTGTTGTTTCTCCATGCACACAAATGCAATGACTGAAAAATGCAATATATAATTTCCATGATCTCTACCTAATAAACTCAGAATTTGAAAAGGTATCGCTGTCATCCCAATATAGTTTGGTGTCTGACTGGCACCAATCTGAATACATGATACCTAGTACATCATCTAATCATAAAACTATTTTGAATAACAAAGTTATTGTACTGAAATCTTGAGTTCTTGTAAAATGCTGAAATTGCAGAAACAATAGGTTCAGGTGGAGTAGAAAAACTGAGAACCCAGAAAAGTGGAGACAGGTTATTAGTCTGGAACACCAGTATGAAGAAGACTGTTTGAATGAGTGAGAGTGTGCATTATAGAGTGTATTCTTGTAAGCTATGCTATCGCTGAGCAGTGGTGGCAGCAATGCCATTTTGTCAATGGTGTCCAGTGTGTGTCCCTCCCTGTGGCAATGCATCAGGACCTGAAGACATGCACCGCCCGTACCACGTACTGCCTGCAGATGGGGCACTCGCTCATGCGCTTGCCGCACTTGCTGCAGGTGACCATGTGGCCGCACTCCAGCAGAACACAGTCAATGGGAGAGTCCATGCAGATCCGACAGAGGTTCTCCTCCTGGCTCTTGGGAGCCGCTGGGTCTATGGCACAACGACAGGGGAAAGAGGAGAGAAGATAGGTCTCTATTGAGTGTGTTCTAAATAACATCTTTCATTGTTTCATATTTGGCAGGTTGTCCATAAAATGATACATTTAAGCAGTGTGGGACCAAATAATTACTTTGGATCAGTGCATGATTTAGATCTTCAAGTGCTTCTCAAAATGCTTTTGATCATGCTTCTCTTGTCTTTTGAGCTTGAAACAAGACCCTTACCTTCTTTACTTCTTGTATCTGAAACTGGAAAAAAGAAACAACAAAGAATTGAACTGATATTAATACGTATTTTTTTACAGGCTAAAGTTCCACACCAGTCATCCCCAGATATAATATATGCCATTTAGCAGACACTTGGAGTAGTCTACAGTGAGTGCATACATTTTAATATATGTGGTCCCAGCGGAAATCGCACCCACTTCCCTGGGATTGCTAGCGGCACGCTATTACCAAATTAGCCTCACAGGACCACACCCTGGAAATGCTCACCTAGGTTCTGGAGGTCCTTCTGGTCATTGTAGAGGCGGGTGACCCTCTCCATCAGCTCCCACTTCTCGCAGCAGCCCTTATAGTTGACAAAGTTACGGGCCAAGATCTCCTTGAGCTGGCGCACGCTCAGACCCTCGATGTCCTCAACGCAGCTCAGGTCAGACAGAGAGGCCCTGCGGCCGGGGATCAGGGTCTCCTCGTTGTCCGATGACTGCAGGAATAGGACAACCATGGAGGTGGGTCAAAATAATAATGTGTATTTTGTCTGGTCTGTATTTTTTGGTTTGGCCAGTGTGTATTTTGTCTCGTCTTTGGGTTTGTCAACAACAGTGGTTTGCTAAACTAAAAACAGGGACAACTTGATTAATTTTGTTTTGTCTGGTCTTTGCGTCTCTGCTGCTGTCTGACATTGATTATCCCCTTGGTGGTGATAGGCATCCATTTATCTACCAGCTACTGATTAATCAATCCCAAAACCTTGAATTTAGCAGTACCTCTTCACCCTCGTCCTCCTCTTCTTCATCATCCTCTTCTTCTTCTTCCTCATCAGAGATCTGCTCTGACTCTGGCTCTGCCTCGGGGGCTGATTGTTCTGGCTGCTCTGGGCTCAATGTGTCAGGGCTGATAGGGCCCTGTGTCTGGGGAGGGGACGGTGTGCCTGGGGAAGGGACGTTGTTGTGAGCCCCGGGCTGGGAGGACACCATCTCACTGCTGGTGCTGGTGCTCGGGGTCTGCTGGCCCAGGACCAGCTCAACCAGCTCCTCCTTTTCCCGGCACGTCTGGGTGGGCACCTCATGCAGGTGGAGGTAGTCACGCAGCTCCCGCACCTAGTTTTTGGGGTTATTGTTGAATTACATCTGACACTATTTTAAATGTTCCTTATTCGTCTTATAATGCAGTTACTAAACATCATGTCATCTTGAAATCTTAATAAAATGTCTAACTAATGTAATTAGTGTTAATACACAGATATAAGAGTAACAGAATGAAAAGTGTTATGGCTTTAGCTTCCACCTGACTTAGCTATATATAGTTCGACATGTAACTTAACCTAATGCATTTGTCCTTGTTTATTTGCCATCAACTGTTAAAAAAAAAAGAGCAGCGGCGCACCTTGAGTCGCATCAACTGGGCGCGGTCGAATAGGGTTCCGTGAAAGCGCTGACATGTGTGGCAGAGGCGCGGGCATGGCGGCTCCAGCTGCACCGAGCAGTGGCCGCAGAAGTTCTTCTTGCAGTCCACACAGACATGCTGGGGTAGAGAGAGAGGAGGACAGGACACAATGAGGGTGAAACTCTTACCAAGGAATGAACGGTCAAAGTAACAGGTGTGAAAGAATGACACTCAGTGTGTGTGCTCTGCGCAGGCAACCTGAGCACTAGACTAGAACCTTATTGATGAGTAGTTGAGAAATTGAATCAAGTAAGTTAGCCATACTGTACAAAAACTTATTCAACAACTTCTCTCTCAGAAATAACTGTAACCTCTGGCCCACAGCTGTTGGCACATTTATAGAAAAGACGATAAGATCTTAGTTCCATGTAAACTAGTGATGTACGTACAGTAATAACTTATATAACAGGCAATTAAAAAGGTGGCTGTTTACTTTGCTGGTGAGATTGTGTGTGGCAACTGGCAGGCAAACATGTCAGGTGGGCAAGGCCTGTTGGAGGAGAAATACCCGACCTACATTTGCTAGTGATTTAAACAGCCTTCTCAGAAATACAGTCACTATTCTAGAGGTGTAGCCTACTGTATTGGACTTTCCGGAATGTGAGCATCTCTGTGTTGTAAGACTGACTAGTACAGGGTCAATTACTGTCAGCTACTGATTAAGAACTTACTGATATAGTGTATCTATGAATTGTAGTGAATCGTAGAAGTCTAAATTCTAGTAACTCTGTTGACAATCAAATATGTTACTTTGGAGTCTGTAGCAGCACATCTGTATCAAATCCTCTTGGGTCTATGCTGTTCCAGACTATCAAGTCACACTCTGCTACCCACATTTCAGATGAGAGCTGGCCAGCCGGCCCTCCTTTACAATATTTATCAGGGTATTACCCATTGGTTCAGTGCCTCTTACCTTCCTAGCAATGGTGTCAAAATGGCCTCCGCAGGCCTTGCACAAATGTTCAGGAGAGGTTAGGGATTGGTTGTAGCCCAAGTTTGTGTAGGCCTGGCGCCATGAGCTGACGTTTTCTTCCACTGTGGCGGTGGGTTCCAAACAAAACCAGCTACAACAGGATGTGCACATGCTCCTGCCTGTTCACACAAAATACATACACAGGAAATTACATCACTTTCTCAGAGAGACTTGCACATGGAATTAGAATCTTAATTCTAGTTCTATGGACTTACATCACAAAGGTGCATAGAAAAACAGAGTTGCCAATAAGGAAATGTAATTGCAGAATAGTGTAGCATGGCTTTCAGATGAATTGTATAGATATTAGTGATGGGGGGGGGGGGAAATAGATACAGTTACATATCGGAATATTATTTTTGACGATATTTCGTATCGTATTGTTTTGACAATATCGCAATATTATTTTTGCACTAGTTGGCTGTACCTGCACCAAAACTCCAGTACTTTTCCTTCATAGCTTGTTCTCTTTAAAAAAATAGGGAGCCAATTTGTTTTCAGCACCTTTATTTCCATGACTGATCAAAGCTCATTTTTTCATTGCTCTCTCTTGTCCCTCTGCAGCAGACATATGGTGAGCAATATGTTAGGATCATCGAATCGGAATAAAATCACAGTATCGAATCGCAATACATATAGAATAGTGAGAATCGCAATACATATCGTATCAGCACCTAAGTATTGTGATAATATCGTATTGCGAGGTCCCTGGCAATTCCTGGCCCTAATAGACATGCATGTAATTCAATCCTGTATCACATTAAAAAAAATATTTGGAACAACCAACATTGAAGGGGCAATATTTCATTCTCTAAAGAAGTAATACACTGAGTATACCAAACATTAGGAACACCTTCCTAATAGAGTTGCACTCTGCCCCCCTTTTGCCCTCAGAACAGCCTCAATTCATCGGGGCATTGACTCTACAAGGTGTTGAAAGCGTTCCACAGGGATGACTGCAATGCTTCCCACAGTTGTGTAAAGTTGGCTGGATGTCCTTTGGGTGGTGGACCATTCTTGATACGCACAAGAAACCAACCAAACCCAAGATAATAAAGACTTTGTATTACATTCCTATTGCTGCAATCACTTGCCTGCGATTCTATAAGTGACACAAGGGAATGATTGTAATCAAATAGGACAGATCCAAGAAACATTCAGCCATAATTTCAGAATTCACTGAAAACCTCACAATTTCAACACAACTAATTCTTAGCTACATTCAGAGCCGTTTCCATAATGGCCTATAATTTTTTCCTACGCTCTAACTGAACCACAGTAGGAGCAAATGGGAACAAACATATGATCAGATCTGTGGCAACTGAGTTCAGGAACAACAAGAGTGCTGTGTGTCATTGAGGCGGCAGGTAGCTTAGTGGGTAAGAGCATTGTGCCAGTAACCGAAAGGTCGCTGGTATAATCCCCGAGCCGACTAGGTGAAAAATCTGTCGATGTGCCCTTAAGCAAGGCACTTAACCCTAATTGTTCCTGTAAGTCGCTCTGGATAAGAGCGTCTGCTAAATGACTTAAATGTAATGTTCTCAGAGCTAGAATTATGCAGGAAAATGCCAGATACTCTCTCTCTCTCTGTCTGTTAAGAGGGGCCAAATGGGAAAGTTGGAAAATCGAGAGCTCTTGACTGTTAATAAGTATATGTGAGAGGAGAGTGAATGCTGATAACTCAACGTTATAATGTAGATAGGCTGCTGTACAACATATATGGTAGCCTACTACAGTAGGCCTATGTTGTTGTCATATTCAAATAGATTTGGTCCAGTTTGCCTCTCATCATAAATGTTACTCTTTCTCTTGTGTTAATTAAACTGAATCCCTCTTCCTGGATTTTATTTACATCCCTAAGTACCTGTACTTGTGATTTTAACGCTGACAGGTGATGGCCTGCAGTTTGTTTCTGGCATTGGACCAATAAGCTGAAGTTCGTTTGATTCATGGTATCAATTTTCTGCTTGCTAACTGAACTGTAACAATGTATCAATTCTGTGGCTCTCTAATAGAAACCTGTCGACAAGTTTAATTAGTGAATATTTTTACCTGTCGACAGGTACGCTGCCTACCAACTTTGACTGGTCACAGAAAATTGTCGTGTGGCCTATTTAGAAAAGTCTACGAAAAATGCTGGAACCAAGAGACTTTTCGCTAACAGCGAGCTCCAGGAAGAACCCGACACAACAAACCCTCCCCAGCTCTGCGGCTCCCCGCCTATCATCGCCTTTTGCCAGCCTCTCAAGACGCACACGCCTGGTCTTTGAAATTGCCCCCATAGTCTACAGTATTGGTCTACAGCGCACCAAGAAAAAGTTAATCACAAACTGGTCAAGTGGTTACAAATTGTGAAATTGTGATTTCTGATCGTGGAATGGTGGATCAGGGCATAAATAATAAATACATTAAATTGATATTTTTTATGCTCAAAGTACAAAAAAATTGATTGTACACTCATTATTTTAAGGCAATTCATGCGTAAATAGGCTACTTTGGATTGAAATGTTCATTGCCTACATTAATCTAATGATTAGGCTAATACAGGGGGGGCTATTCTGGCTCTGTCTTCTATAGGATGCACATGGCATCTTAATGAGAGAAACTCAAATTAAATATTCTAAAAACACAGTAATGAATAGGACTGTATGTCTTATCTAGCGTATTTCCAAAATACATAGGCCTACAAGCAATACTTATCTCCCACTTAGAATCGATGTAAACTAAATCTACTGTAGGCCAACAGCGGGTGCTTGGTGTAATACAATCGATACTAATTGCTATTTTAATTAGCCCACAATGTGCCTCTATAGTGGTCCCGTCTACAATAACTTGGACAGTGCATGGGTATGGGAGGGGCACCTTGCAAAATTCAAATCAAACCATCAGCAGTTGATTTTTTTATTCCAAAAGAATGGATAAATAAATCAATGTATGTACAATACAGAGAGAATTAGCCTACATTGAACTATCCATGTGATTGACGCAAGGGCGTGTGATCGTCTCTTTAAGAGTGGGCTTGATGCTGCATGATGTTTCATTCCAACCAGCCATTTCGAATGGGATATCCCATAACCTTGCCAAGAGCGTGGGGAAATATTAAGGGTGGCATCTTTGAAAGGGTGTATGCCTCCATTTTGTGATTATTTGACATCATGCAACTACTAACTGAGATTTTGACATAGGCTACCTCACTCTTAATTTCATAGCCAGCTTGTCTGATCACACTGATGCGCAAGCGACCTTACCTGGGTGACCCGGAGCAAATCCTCTTTGTAACGGCCATCTCGTATTGCTGAATCAATCACACACATGCAAGGTCTCAAAGCCAGGATTTTGGCGTAAGCTTGGTCCACTGTGTTGTTCAATGTCTGGCCGTACAACTAACTGGCTGGCACGAAAATCTACTGATGGAGGACGGTTCGCATCTTCAAGGAAATGACGTCAATTTAGCGCCAGCTGTTTGGTTCCTGTCAGGCGGGAATAAGTGCAGCCGAAAACATGGACGTGGAGATGAATGAGGCAGATTCTGAGCAAATTCAAACAGAAGTTCAACCGAAGAAAGATGAGGCCCCTGTGTCTAGTAGTGGATATGAGCTGCCATGGTAAGGTTTACTAGTTAGACTAGTTGCAGTATTTTTGTATTTCTTAGCGGACGGAAATCGCTCATCACGGCTAGTAGTGCTAATGGCTAATTTAGCTAACTAACGTTAGCTAGCCAGCACAGGCATGAGTACAGATGCTAACATTGTACTTAGCTATGAAAACAAACCCATTGTGCATGCCTCTCAAAAAGTATGTAGATAGCTTGCTATGTAATGTTATGTCAAATGTACTGGTAACTAGCTATGCTTTAAGCATCTCATAGAGCAACAGCTCGCTCGCTAGCTAACTGTACTAGTGCACGTTTTGCAATAATATTAATTTGGTGGGTGCTATTTCGCACATATACAAGTGTGTTTTATACACAGGCGTGAATTGGAATTTTTTTTTTTTTTTTGCATATCCCAACTCCCCCTGAGACACCCTCGCGGAGAGTGCGGTTACAGCCCGGCCATGCTAAAGGGCACATCGACAGATTTTCACCTTGTCGTCTCGGGAATTTGAAATAGCAACCTTTCAGGACTGGCCCAATGCTCCAACCACTAGGCTACCTGCCGCCCATATCTACCCTCCATATATATCCATATATTGGGTTAATCACTATGAATTGGTTGTTGCTGATAGCTATGCTTGTTCTGAATATCTCACAGGGTTGAAAAATACAGACCCTTGAAGTTGAATGAAATAGTAGGCAACGAGGAGACTGTTAGCAGATTGGAGGTAAAGTATCCTCAATATTTTATGTTACAGTAGTTGGACAGTTTCAATTCATTTGATGCTAAATAATAGCTAACTATATGAATTCTTGTTCCATTCTCTCTTACAGGTGTTTGCTAGAGAGGGAAATGTACCCAACATCATTATTGCAGTGAGTGACCTAACATTATTCATTCTTTCATCATAACTATTTGATATTACATACTGACATGTTGGTGCAGCAGAGTAATAGTATGCAAGTTATGCCATCTTTCATATACGATCTCTTTTTAAACATAAGTATCAATATTATAGGGTCCCCCCGGTACAGGGAAGACCACTAGTATTCTGTGTTTGGCACGTGCTCTTCTGGGCCCAGCCATGAAAGATGCTGTCCTGGAACTGAATGCCTCCAATGACAGGTGAGTGCAAGTGAAGTCTACCATGAAAAATGTCTGGAATACTTAAGTGCACAACCTGTGAGTCCAGGAGGTGCATTTTGGGTTAAAATCACGTTGTGTTTCTTTAGAAAGTGAAGCCTACGCTAACACATTGTCATCCATCTTCCTCAGAGGCATCGATGTAGTTCGAAACAAGATCAAGATGTTTGCCCAGCAGAAAGTCACCCTCCCTAAAGGGAGACACAAGATCATCATCCTGGATGAGGCTGACAGGTAAGTCAAGTGAGGGTCACGACATCTAAGCTGAAAGCTGATCTAGTGTACCTGTACGTATAATGGCTGTGTCTGTAAAGGATGTGCTTATGTCTCCAGTATGACAGACGGAGCCCAGCAGGCCTTGAGGAGGACCATGGAGATCTACTCTAAAACCACACGCTTCGCTCTGGCGTGCAACGCCTCCGACAAGATCATCGGTGAGTGTCCTGACTTTAGTTGATTTAATTTTTTATTAATTTCTTTAAATAATTTCTTACTTATTTTTGTAAAAATCTGCATTGTTGGTTAAGGGCTTGTAAGTAAGCATTTCATGGTAAGGTCTACACCTGTTGTATTGGGCGCGTGTGACAAATAACATTTGATTTGATTTAACAGTTCAACACAATGATGCTGTCGTATTGAATAGGGACCCTACTGTAAGCGACAGTCACATTACAAAACCAACCTGGCTTTTCACTGTCGTGATGGTAATCCATGTTGCTGTGCCCCCTCCTCCACAGAGCCCATCCAGTCACGTTGTGCAGTCCTGCGCTACACCAAGCTGAGGGACGAGCAGATCATGATGCGTCTACTGGAGGTGGTGGAGAGGGAGAACCTGGTCACCAGCAACGACGGCCTGGAGGCCATCATCTTCACCGCCCAGGGAGACATGAGACAGGTGGGGAAAAGAGCCAACTGTCCTCAACCTCCATGTTGGCACCAAGGGTTCCATGAGAATAGCATTCTTGTTACCATTGACTAGATTGTGAATGTCTTAGGAGGTTTGGGTGTAAACATGGCTGAAGTTTGTTGAACGATGTATATCCATGGCTCCTCATAGTGCCTCGTACTTTTGGGTCAAGTTTGGCTGAGACGTGTGAAACTATATATCATAACTTAAGCTGTCTTTTTTTGCATCATCAGGCACTGAATAACCTACAGTCCACAAATTCTGGGTTTGGCTACATTAACAGTGAGAATGTGTTCAAGGTACAGTTATGTTATCTAACCTGTATTTTTCAGTCATTTTAGAAGGCAAAGTTGACAAAATGCCTAGCTCTGTTTCGAAGGAAAGAATAGTGAAGAATTGTTTGTTTTTGCTCAGGTGTGTGATGAGCCACACCCCCTGTTGGTGAAAAGCATGCTGGAACACTGTGTCAATGCAAACATTGATGAGGCTTACAAGGTATTGCAATCCACATTCAATAACAATAGACATAATAAGTATAATCATATGGCTCTCAATGAATAACCCTTATTTCTGTAGCCTTTAAACATGGTTCAGTTTAGGATATAGTATGATCAAATAGCTGATCATATTGCTTGCTTAGATTATTGAGCAGCTGTGGGCCCTGGGTTACTCCCCTGAGGACATCATCGGTAACATCTTCAGAGTGTGTAAGACTTTCCAGATGCCTGAGTATCTCAAGCTGGAGTTCATAAAGGTAAGATACATGAAAAAACATTTTAAGTCTGCAGTTGTATATTGTTATGCATGTCTCTGGTTATGTCAGATCCTTTCCTGTGTTTTCTTCATCTTCCTTTTTTCCTGAAATGATTTAGTTGGGAAAACAGAATGGCAGAAAAGTGCCTAAATGTAAGCCACATCACAGTATTAAGCCATTTCACCTCCAATTCTACTTGGTACTGTCCCTTTTCTTAGGAGATAGGCTACACCCACATGAAGGTGGCAGAGGGCGTGAACTCCCTGCTGCAGATGGCAGGCCTCCTGGGTCGACTGTGCAGCAAGACGGCCACCCCGGATACCAGCTAACACCCCACCCACGCCGCCACCCATCATCTCAGCACTGTCTCTCCTGGGTTGTGTTCATTAGGGAAACAAAACATTTTGCAACAGGAAATGTAAATGAGCGTTTCGTAGATTTTTCTCCAGTTTTGTTCATAATGAACACAACCCTGCTTCCACACTCTGACTCAGAGTCCTGGGGAGTTTTCTGTTTAAACATTTCTGGATGAAATACATTTTGTGTTTAATGTAAATACTATTGAAAATCACTTCTGTAATAAATCAGTGTTTTGTAATTATGACTTCTCTGTTATAGAACACAACAATGGTCTATAAAGAGGTTGTAAACTTAAGTTTTTGAATTAAGGATTTATTTATACAAACTGACAGATCTTATCTACATTTTAAAACTGTTTCTGAGCTCTTTTATTCATTTTGTACCACTAGATGGTGACAGTTACATAGTAAGACTCCAACAATCAAAGTACTGTACATTGTTCCTCTACATTTTGAGACTCAAGGGAATTCATTATGAAGTAATCACACGGTTTGGGCATTTACCCTTAAATGGCATTGCTCTGGTATAGCACATTGACATCTGTATCACTTAGCATTTATCCAAGCATCTCAACAAAGACCGTGAGAAATCCCTTCCCATAGTCTACTCGTTGAGCATGTGGTTTCCATATCAGGCAGTTTTGTTCACATAAACCGGTTCATCTGTGACAGAGTAAAAGTATATTCCTAGTTCATTACATTTACATTTTAGTAATTTTTGCAGTCATTTAGCACAGCGTTTCCCAACTCCAGTCCTCTAGTATCCTCAACAGCACACATTTTTGTTGTAGCCCCAGACAAAAACCTGATTTAACTTGTCACAGGTTGATGATTAGTTGACAAGTAGAATCAGATGTGCTTGTCTGGACCGGAGTTGGGGAAACACTGATTTAGCAGATGATCTTATCCAGAGTGACTTACAATTTAGTGCATTCATCCTACATTCGTAGCAGAAGTGTTCTCATCGTTATAAAGCACTATGGTGACTTACCATCCGCTGACCCCATTTTCATTTGCTCCAGGAATTCAGAGTTCTCGTAATCTGATCCATCTGTTAGTTGTGAGGTGGGGGAAAATAATATCTTAGTTAAATATATCAAATGTAAGAAATCAAATCCAAGTTCAAAACTAGACAACTTTTCCAAAAACAAACCGATCTTCATAAATATGACTCATTTCATAGGAAGGATAGGCCTAGATTTATTCATTTTAAAGTACATACCAGAGTCACGGTTGATTATATCAATAGATGGAAAAACATTCTCATATGAACATTGATCGTCATCTAGAAAGAAAGAAGAAATGTTTTAATCAAATTACATTTCTCTCAAATTATACTCAACATGTCTGACATCCAAATAAGGCAAATGACAATCAAATAAAAGTGTATTAGTCACATGCACAGGGTCGCAGATGTAATTGCAGGGTACAGTGAAATTCTTATGCTCCGAGCTCCAACAATGCAGGTCAAAGAGAATTGAGTGGCAACTACCAATTGGATATCACAAAAAAAAGAGAAGTGAGTGAAACAATAATAAATAGTAATAGTACTAAGTAAAATAATAGAATAAAAAAAGATCACAAGAAGGCATATATACAGTGGCGACCCATCATTCAGGGCATTTTGAGCCCCACATTGTTGGCTAAAAAATAAACAAAATAAAAATTGCCATTAATACGTGTCACATATCAGTTTGCAAACAATGTAAAAAATTTAAATAATTGAGTTAATAAAGCCGCATACAAACACGGTCTCTTTTTTGCTTTATTGAGTAAGGCCGCTCCAAAATGCAGGTGTTTCAGCCTAGCTCAGTGCTTTCTGTGGTGGTGGGGCAGCCACCGGAAAATACGTAGCGTAGGTGTTGGTAATGTTCTCTAGTTGCGCCGTGATTGGCTCAGTGTTCTGTCACTCATTGGGACACTACCTCACTGTCAAGTTTAAGGGTATAGCTAGAAAATTCAAGCCCATTAGGTGCTGCCATAGAGTTACATTAGAAGTCCCCGTCCAAGAAGGCTAAAGGTCATTGGCCACAGATAAAATTACGTCAAATCACGTTATATCTACAGTAGATTGGATTGATCATGTCAACATCATACTTTAAAAATCTTAGCTAGCAGTCATCATCATGAATCAAGTCGACAATCTACTGGCAAATCCTTTTTAATCCTTGTCATATGAAGAGAAATAATGAAGAGAAATTATAAATAAAGTGTATTGTCGCTCATCGGCCATTGGACATAAACATTACACAACAAGTTGGAAATTGCAAATTCAACAATGAGGGGTTTGGAAGGAATCAGTGGCTAACTGCAAGCATTGCAAAGCAATCACTAGCCTGCTATTCAGTGGAGTGGCTGTGTGGTCCCAAGTCTGGGATTAAGGGTCTCTTTTCCAAGCTTAAAATGATAAACATTCAACATTGGCCATACTGTCAATGAAGCATGAATTGTGCCGTGCTCAAAACAACTGTTAACTCGGAACTGCGAAATCTGACTTCAGTGAGTTCAAAACAACTGGGAACTCGGGAACAACGAGCTCCGACTGGGAAAATACCTCTTATCTGCTTGTCGTCCCCTTATGCCATAGTTTGTACATCTCAATTGTCAGTAGAAACCACATTTGTTTAAGCAAGTCAGCCATATCAGCAATGTTGAGGCTGAATGAACTGTTTCGCAAGGCTCTGCTGATAACCAGGTGTAGCAGTGGTAAGGTGTTGGGACTCTGCTGTTGGGACAGCTTTATGTAGGGGCTAACAGTTTGATAATGATGATCCACACTTCTTTGACAATATATATAATAAATTATCAACCCTGCAAGCAATATTATTATGGTGGGGGATTATAATACTGTTTTAAATAGCTCAATGGACCGTAAAGGAAATCACACCACAAACAATCACCCACATGCTCTTAAGGAAATCGTGAATGTCATGGATACATTAGAACTAGTAGATATATAGAGGCTTAAATATCCTGATCTAGTGAGATATACATGGCGGAGACTCAATCAAGCTAGTCGTCTTGACTTCTTTCTTATCTCATTCTCGTTGGCACCAAAAGTTTAAAAAGTGTTGATAGGGGACAGAATGCGGTCGGACCATCATATAATTGGCATATACATTACTCTTACTGAATTTCCACGTGGGCGAGGATATTGGAAATGTAATCAAAGCCTATTGGATGATAATTAATTTTTAACTAGGACAAAGGAATTTATAACTTACTTTTTCCAACATAACATAGGTACAGCAAATCCCCTTATTGTATGGGACACCTTTAAATGTGCCTTTAGAGGCCATGCAATTCAGTACTCATCTCGAAAACAAAAGCAATTTAGGTCAAAAGAGTTTATACTAACAAAGGAAATAGAAAGTCTAACAGAACAGATAGATGGCAATAAAAACTGTAACATGGAGGCTCAGAATAAATTAGAGGAAAAACAAAAAGAAATGGAGAAACTTATTCAAGAAAGATCAAGTGTAATATATTATAAAAAATAAAGCAAACTGGATGGAATATGGGGAAAAATGCACCAAATTCTTTTTTAATCTTCAACATAGGAATGCTACCAAAAATAATGTAATGAAATTGGTTACAATTGACGGAGTAACCCATGATTCACCAAATGATATTTTGAAGGAGGAAACAAGGTACTTTAAGCATATGTTTTCGTTTCAGTCGCCTCCATCTCCTCTAACTGAAGCTAATTGTAGAGATTTTTTTTCTATTGATAATGTCAAACAGAAAGACTCATGTGAAGGTGAAATTACAGAGGAGGAACTTCTGGATGCAATTAAAGACTTTAAGTCTGGGAAAACTCCAGGGTTGGATGGCACACCAGTCGAAGTATACCAAACCTTTTTTGATATACTAAGAAGACCTATTAGCATGTTTTAACCACTCCTATGTAAATGGTAGATTATCTGACACTCAAGAAGAAGGTCTGATCTCATTATTACTGAAACAGGATACAAGTGGAAAATATAAAGATCCAGTCCATTAAAAAAATTGGAGGCCCCTTACACTTCAGTGTTGTGATGCAAAAATTCTAGCAAAATGTATAGCGCATAGAATTAAAAAGGTATTGTCGGATATTATTCATTCTAATCAGACAGGTTTTTTTACAAGGAAGATTCATTGGAGATAATATAAGGCAAGTATTGGAAACAATAGAACATTATGGAAATTCGGAGAAACCAGGCCTGCTATTCATAGCAGACTTCGAAAAATCAGTAATATCAGGGGATTAGAAATCCAGGGCTTAAAAACAGGTGTCATTGTATGCTGATGATTCATGTTTTCTTTTAAATCCACTACTAGAATCACTCCACAGCCTCATAGAGGATCTAGATACATTTTCTAACCTCTCTGGATTACAACCAAATTATGACAAATGTACTATATTACGTATTGGATCAATAAAAAATACAATTTTTACATTGCCATGTAGTTTACCAATAAAATGGTCTGATGGTGATGTGGATATACTCGGAATACATATCCCAAAGGAAATAAATGATCTCACTTCAATAAATTATAATAGAAATTTAGCAAAAATAGATAAGATCTTGCTACCATGGAAAGGTGGGTGCCTGTCAATTTGTGGAAAAATCACCCTGATTAATTCTTTAGTATTATCCGAGTTTACCTATTTGCTTATGGTCTTGCCTACGCCTAGCGAACAGTTTTTTTAAATTATATGAGAAAAAAAGATTCCATTTTATTTGGAACGGCAAGCCAGACAAATTTATACGGGCCTATTTATATAATGAATATGAATTCGGAGGACAGAAATTATTAAATATTAAAGCATTATACCTATCACTAAAAGCTTCAGTCATACAAAAGTTATACTTAAATCCGAACTGGTTCTCTAGCAAATTAGTAAGATTGTCTCACCCAATGTTCAAGAATGGCCCTTTTCCCTTTATTCAGATTACAACTACTAACTTTCAGTTATTTGAAAAGGAAATCATCTCCCAGATATTTCTAAAACAAGTCATAGAAAGTTGGTTGCAATTTCAATTTAATCCTCCAGAAACGACAGAACAAATAATGCAACAAATATTGTGGTTAAACTCAAATATACTAATTGACCAAAAAACTTTTTTTTTGACAAAATTTTAAAAAAGGTATAATCTTTGTAAATGATTTCATCGGTAGGACTGGTGGAGTTATGTCGCACATGCAGCTAACAAAAACATATGGAAATGTCTGCTCTACCCAAACTTACAACCAAATAATTGCAGCATTACCGCAAAAATGGAAGAGGAAAGTGGAAGGAGGAGAAAGTAAGGAACTTGTCTGTCGGCCTTGCATTAAAGAACATAATTGGTTAAGGAAAACTGTGATAAATAAAAAGGTATATCAGTTTCATTTAAGGACCAAAGGATTGACAGCCGTCCCATATAGATTGCAAAATAGTTGGGAAGAGATTTTTGACATACCGATCCCACGGCATAGTGTTTATGAACTGATACGCAAAACGACAGAATCTTTCAATTTAAATTATTATATAAAATTCTTGCTACCAATTGAATGTTATTTACAGTGGGGGAAAAAAAGTATTTAGTCAGCCACCAATTGTGCAAGTTCTCCCACTTAAAAAGTTGAGAGAGGCCTGTAATTTTCATCATAGATACATGTCAACTATGACAGACAAAATGACACAGGTCAAACGTTTTCTGTAAGTCTTCACAAGGTTTTCACACACTGTTGCTGGTATTTTGGCCCATTCCTCCATGCAGATCTCCTCTAGAGCAGTGATGTTTTGGGGCTGTCGCTGGGCAACACAGACTTTCAACTCCCTCCAAAGATTTTCTATGGGGTTGAGATCTGGAGACTGGCTAGGCCACTCCAGGACCTTGAAATGCTTCTTACGAAGCCACTCCTTCGTTGCCCGGGCGGTGTGTTTGGGATCATTGTCATGCTGAAAGACCCAGCCACGTTTCATCTTCAATGCCCTTGCTGATGGAAGGAGGTTTTCACTCAAAATCTCACGATACATGGCCCCATTCA